AATTACCCACAATGCTTCACTCTGACTCACAAGAATAATAGGGAATGTTCAATGTTCAATACAACAATATCAGATCGCTTCAGTGAGCACTAACCAGTGCTGAAAGAGATGATGTTGATCTTCAGTGAGCGGTCCAGAGATTTGAGGACTTGAAGGGCAATCCTGCGGGCGTTTAGCATGGCGTCTCCCCGCATGGACTTGGAGGAGTCCAGTAGAATGACCACATCGCTCACACTGGACGGACCTCCAGAGCTGGACACCCCGCTTGACTTAAAGTCTGGATAAAACACCAGCATGCAGGCCTGCAGGGATCAGATCATTATTGTCAGAGTGCGTAAGATGGAGAGAGGCAATTTTTGTGTGCAATATGCTCGCAATATAGGAAAACACATTAGAGTGATAATTTCTTTACCTGACTATCTTTATCCGGATGGTTCTCGACCCACATCCTGGGCATGTGGATATTAGAAAGACTGAAGGACACATGTAACCCTTCAGATCCCAGAGTCTGTCCCGGTAACGTGCTGATCACTGCCTTACAGTCTGTCCTCTGAATGGGGAAAACACTAATACTGTTAATACGGTTCATAACTGAATGTTTCTTTTTCTTCAGAAAATACAGTATTTAGTAAGATAATGCACAAAAGTGAATTAATGACCTTGGTTTTGATGCGGTGTGAAGAGCTCAAGTTTATGATCTCATAAGGCATTTCAATGGACATGGACAGAGAAAACTCCCTGAAGAATGAAAAACCATAAAAACCATACACTAAACCGAACAACGCAACAACCCTGTAACCACCCATTGTCCAAAGTAGACCAGGTGCTACTGTATATAAAGCATGATGTTATAAAGGTTGAAGGTTAAGTGTTAAATGATGTTAAAACATGTGGTTTGCTACATTAAATAATTGGCTTTTATATTGTTACTCATCAGCAGGTGCATTTTTAGTGAATCTTTAGTGAATTTCCCTGTGAATTCTCCAGCGTTAGAGATTCTCACCCCTCTGACTGAAGCTCCGTCACACCAATCTTTTCAACAGTTGTCTGAAATGCAGCACAACTGTCAGTCAAACACTGCAACAATCAGCAGGCCAAACAGGATTTTAAATAGAGTGACAAAAGACCATCGTACCTGAGTTGTCTGATTAAGGGCGGCGCTCTGTTGCCATGGTGCCACGCTGCCAGACAGTGAGAAGATTATAGAGCCTGATCTGACCAGCAGCTCAGTGATGAACGTCACCTTGATCAGAACTGTGGCTCCAGGAGGAAGATTCCCCACACTGATAGTAAATACATCCTGCCTCACATAAACACATGACCTTAAAGAAACCTTCTAATACATTATCACACATACGTCAGCTCCAGATCAGTTACAGTAACTCACAGGTGCATCCTGGTCCATCAGGTAGGCTCCATGGCCTTTCTCTATGGCTTGCTTGTACTCCTTACGAGCCTGCTCTTTTTCCTTTACCTACAGGACAAAAAGAGACATTGAAAACTGATGAGAAAGAGGTTGAAAAAGCACAGACTTTATTTGATAAATTCTGAATGATTTGCACCTTTCCAATGACGTGTTTTCCATTGATAAAGGCTTCAAATCCACACACTGCTGCCGTCTCCTCCAGTGGAAAGACATACTTTGCTTCAATGGGAACAGCACTCTGGTTTGTGTAGGTCTGAAAAATTATGACCTGGTAAAAGTGGAGACAAAGTTAGGGATACGGTTAGAGTTTGGAATTGTAATGCAATGCTCTGGCTTTATGGCTGTGGCATTACGGGGTCTTTTGCTTTGATTTGTGTCTTTTAGTTTGTTAATTCTTTTGGCTTTAATTTTGATGTTCTTGTCATGTATGTACTCCCGTTGTCACGAATTCAGTCCATGGACTTCCGTTTATTCACCACCAGAGGTCACCCTTTCCTTTACATTGACTCTCGCACTACACAAACTGTTGCATAGTACCCTGGACTACATTTCCCATCATTCTTTGCACGATTTGCACACTGCACTGATTGCACTCAGCTGTTTCTAATCACCTCACTCACTATATAACACCCACTCTAACCACCTTTCTCTGCTGAGTATTGTTTAGCCAGTACCCCTTTCCGAGTCGCCGTGTTTTCTTTGTTTTGCTTTGCCGGTTTCTGCGGTATCTGACCTTTGCCTGTTTTCCTGGATTTCTCCCTCTCGTCTTGCCCCTGTGATTCTGTCTGCTTATCGGTGACCTATGCTAGCCCTGGGACTATTCTTGTGTTTTGCCCGCCATATACCTGTTTGCCATTGTTTTGACCCTGCCTGTTTACCACGTCTCTTTAATAAAGCCTGCAGATGGATCCACACGTCTCACGTCTCGTCAGCCACGTTACACTCGTGGTCCACTGGTCGTGTCCATCACTGTTTTGTTCTCGTTCTAATTCATTAGCTGTTTTGTTTATCATTTTGTTCTTTTAGTTTTACTGCATATCTTTA